TTTATAGGCAACAAAAATTGGAGAAAAAGGCGCCTATATAGGCAAAGATTTTTATTAAAAAAAGCAGGGATATTAACATTTAGGCAAAATATAGGCAATAAAGGAATATAACTTATTATTTATTGTACAAAGTGAAATAACCTAATATTAACTGAAGGCAGGTATATTTACACATCATAATCATAACATTAGTATAAATAAACTAGTAACTAAATAACTGTAAATTAATAATTAAACATTGTAACCACTTAAAATTTTATCATTAATAGAAACAACTAAATGTTTTTCAATATTTTCGGTCTTAAAACTATGTCTTCGATCACTTAAAATTAATTTGTACATTGAAAACGAACGTTCGACATCAACAGATATAATTGGAGCATATTTCAGAGCGGATAATAAATCTGGCATAATTTGAAATTCCTCGGAAAATGTCCCATTCAAAACTTTAGCAACATTAGATAAAAACGAAAAACCTTCATTCTTGTCGAAAACATATTTCATTTTTTTTAAATTAATTGACCGTTACTTCCAGGTGCCGATTTAATTTTCGTCTTTAAATTATCTATTCATTTTACTGACACATAAATTTATCTCTTGTTTTTCGAATAAGGTAATTGTGGTAACTATTAATTTATAATTGTCATTGATATAAGCGAGTTCCTGTTTCAATTTGGGATTTTTTAATATTTTTTTTGCTTCTCGAATGGCTTCGGACTCTATCTCTAAAAAATTGGACTCTAACTCCTGCTTAATTTTTGAAATACATTCCACATAACATTTTTCCACAGTCTGTTTTCTCAATGTAGGGTAGACTGGGGCTAGTTGTGCCACTTTGGACAAAATAATTTTTAACATTTTTTTCGTAATTTTTAGGGCTGTTAGATTACTTTAATGAGGTACTATTTTTAATTGGGAATCATTATTTGGGAACATCAGCAATTTTTAAGCAATACCTTACAGTATGTAAATAGTTTTACAAAATGCACATATTGTCACAATTTGCCCCAATATGGGGTAAGTTGTGACGAACTTGGGGCAGGTTGTGACAGTAAATATTTTTAAATATAATAAACTTTAGTTGGAGAATAATAACAAAGTTTCCATAATAAATTTATTTTATAGTTAAGTATAGATACATAAATGTTTGATAAATGTTTATGTAAGAAACAAATGTGTAGAAAAACATCTAGTGAATTTAAAGTAAAATAAAAAACTTAATCGCTATCGTCAATTTGTGCTGATTCTACTTGTAGTTCTGAAGAGTGGCAGTTTATACAAACATAATAAAGATCATCTTTTGTGCACTTTACATGAGCCCACCTCTTGCATTCCATACATTGCACCCAGTCTTCTCCTAACCTAGACTTTTTATATGGTCCCATACAAACTAAGCAAAAGTAATCTTCTTCCTCTTCTTCTGAGCTGTCTTCTCTTTTTCTTGTTGCGGTCTCTTTCTTTGGCGCTGCTTTTTTCTTAGGCAACAGTTGTTTTGAGTCAAATAATTTTTTCTTTATTTTATCCTCTTTGCACTTTATTGTTTCCTTCCTCTTTAACTCTTCACTGCGAATTGTCTCCTTGACAGGTGTGCTAGTCAAAATTGCAGATGTTAAGCTCTTGCGTTTTTTATTTTTTCGAGGACCAGCTTTTGGCAGAGGTCTTATATCCATAGGGCTGACAGGCAGAACTTCGGCATGGAATGATCCTGGTAGGTTGGCCTGCGATGATCCTTGTTGATATGGTCCTGGTTGATAGGTATGGGAGGGTCCTGGCTGGTTAGCATAATATGACGACGGTTCAGGTTCATCGAGATGCTGAAACTCTTTAAGCTGCCCAGCACTGGCTTCCTCATTACCATCTACGATGTCAATAGGCCTATTCAAAGGTCGGTCAGTCACCGAAGAACACAGAAAGTCTTCTTCATTAAAAATGTTTCTATTGAATTCCCATATTCCTGTAGAACGAAATCCTGCCTGAACATTTGTTGGTGTTACAGCTTTAGGTAATGCTGTTTTCACTATACTTGGGATGTCATAAATTGAGACTGTGTTTCCAGGATGAGATTTCATCCATCCACACATGGCGTCGTTTAAAAACTTCTTAAATGGACCAAAAACGGAAACATCCAGTGGTTGAAGTCTATTTGTTGTATGGGGAGGGAACGATAAGAGAGTAATACCGTGCTCTGTACAATAGTCAAGGACTTCGATATATAGGTGAGCACTGTGGTTGTCTAACAGAACTAAAACCGGTGATTTCTTTGAGCACCTTACTTTTTTTACAAAATGCTTCATAAAAAACAAAAAGTCCGGGCCTGTTATCCAGCCACTTGGGTTAGCAGTACCACAACAACCTACTGGCCCATCACGTACAAAATGCTCCTTGTAAAACTTACGTGGAAAAACGAACATAGGAGGAACTGAGTTACCCTCTGCGTTAATAGCAAGAACCATAGTAACATTGGTCCCCCTCTCAGCTGAAGTGACACCACCAACTCTTTTCTCGCCTTTCTTCGCTATGATTTTTACCGGTTTTTGGTCAGTCCCAGTCCCTGTCTCGTCTATATTCCAAATATCATTAGCTGTAAAATGGTTTTGACTTAATACTAATTCGAGGTTATCAAAAAAGAGTCCGACATTGTGCTTGTTGAAACTTGTACTCCGACTTAAGCTGGTAGCCTCAGGAACACGAATAGACACATTATTGTTACGTTGCATGAACTTTGTAAACCAATCATTACTGGCGTGTTTTGTTGCTACCCAATTCTCAGGCACAAGAACTTTGTTCGCTATAGCAAATTCAAAAGCTAAACTTTTCATTTCTTTTGGGCTAATACCATAAAATATTTTCGCTGCCTGAACAGCATATTCACAGAGCTCTTCTTCTTGTTGTTGTGAAAATATCATTCGAGGTCTTTTGTAACCCATTTCTACCACTCCATCTGGATTGGTTTGTTGTTTTTTTATATATCTAAGTAAGGACATCCGGTTAACGCCATATTTTTCAGCTGCTTGCCTTAAACTACACGATCCAGACTTAACATCTAACGAAGCCGACTCGTAACTGTTTATATTACTCCGACCACGTTCCGTTTTCCTTTTATAATTTCTCACCATTATCTGTAACAAACCCATAAACATGCATTAAAATTAGTAGGGGCATGTTGTGACACTGTCACAATCTGCCCCAAGCCTTTCGTCACAACTAGCCCCACCGTACGCCATTTTACATAAAGCCACTTGCACAGACCTTGACACGTCGTATAGAAACCAAACTGTGTCTTACTAGAGAGAAATAAACAAACTATCTACTACAACTAGAATAAGTTTCTTACCTTGTGGTTTGAAAGTGAAATAACAATTCAAAGACAACAGCAAAATTTTACTTCGTTACAACGAAATGACATATAATTTTATAAAGCGGCAGAAACGCATAGCATCACAACCAAACTACACAAACAGACTGAGGACATGCGGACGTGGAATTCTGGGTAACCGGGCGACGCTGCTACCTATGGTTAGTCTATAAAACTATTTGTCACAACATGCCCCTGTCACAACTAGCCCCGATCTACCCTACTCTTGTCCGGTAAGGACTTATTAAGATATTTTTCGAAAAAGCATTTAAAACGGGGGTTCTTAACTTTATATAGAGGAATGTTGGATGCAATTATAATAATAATAGTCTCCCGTTTTATTATTATTATAATTGCATTTAAAACGGGGGTTCTTAACTTTATATAGAGGAATGTTGGATGCAATTATCATCTGACATAAATCAAAGTTAAATGCGTCTTCCTCCTTTTTTTTTGAACTGCTTAAACTATCCCGTAGAGATATTTGGGCTAACTTAGAGGAATTTAATTTTTCCAAATTACGTTTTTGAAGTGGGGTTCCACAATGCTGGTCAATAAAGTGCTTTTTTCTACTTGAAATCTGAGAATTAAAAAAAAAATTATAATTCTAAAACCGCTTTAGAATTTAGTTATGTTGTGGGACGAGAAAAAAACAGAAAAAATAAAACTTACCGATTTGCCGCATGGTTTACAAAATGCTCCATCTCCTTCTAGAGAAAGTTCCGAACAATGACGTATAATATATAGACTAAGCAGTCCCTTATTCTCGTTATATAATCGAGTGTCCGAAATATCTCCGCTCAAGGTTGAAGGTATGTTTACCAGAACAGCGGCGTGCTCATTTAAATGTTAATGACAATAATTATTTTTTTAATTAAAATTAAATATTTATGATTTCTTTTTGTTCCCGTCTATAAGAGAAATAATTATTTTGATAAAATAGTATGGCATTTTACTAAAATAGTAAGTAAATAACTCTCAACAATTTAAAATAAAATTTGCTTGTCACATAAAATATGTAAACACACAAAATGGAGAAAATGTTTTCATACGTCCATGATGTTTTCAAACACAAGATCAACTTCGTGATGCTTCGTAAGAAATCATGAACTTCGTGCATCTTCGTATCAAAACAATAAACAATAACAAAGGTATTCATGTTGTGGACACTTTTAAGGTTCCGGGTCTATATATTATACGTCATTGGTTCCGAATAAGGTAATAAACTAATAAAGCTTAGGGATTTTCAAATAGTTAACCCTCAAGTCTCGATCAGGAACATTTTCGTAGAAATCTGTTATATAAACAAACCATTGATATTTTATTATTGACCCAAAATTTTATTATAGAATGGTTTAGTAACAGAATAATATCATGGGTAGTACCATGAAATTTTAAAAAAAGGCACAAATAGGCGAAATTTACGAAAAAAGGCAAAAAGTGCAAAAAACAATTATAATAGGCAAAATAGGCCAAAAAGGCATTTTGCCTATAATCCGAGCTTTACTAATTATACTTACTGATCTTTGTATTACATGAGGTTTTTTGTCTCTTGATAATATGTTTTAGTGTCTGCTTTTTGTGGCAAGTGTATAACTATTTATTTCTACTGTCTGTGGTATCGAAATCAAATCATTAGCTATATTTGTAATTATGAATTTTTAATTATAAAAAATCTTTATTTAACAAAATAATTTGAGTTAAATATCACATCTAATACTTTTCTTAAAATATTAGTAGTTGCGTTCAAATAGACCCCAGTGAAGGGCCATAATTTTCCACATATTTTTCACAAATGAAATTTAGTGGTACGTTGCAGTCTCCCTCAACCCAATTGAGCTGGGCACCGAATATCTGCACTAATATACACTTATGAGCATTCTGTACTGGATGACCGGGAGGCCAGTTGCTGTACTGAATTTCTGTTCCATAAGGTACCCACAAATATTGACGGTCATCTACGAATCTTGCTCCCCCAATCCAATATCGATTATGGATACCTAAAAATTAACAAAAAATTTTAATTCCTGAAATCTTGAATATGTTGCCTGTGTGAGTCATTTCAAATAGGACTACTTATAAGCATAAGACTTATTCACAATCAATGTGCTCTGTCACCAACGACCGGTTTCACATACTATAATTTGCTATGCATATTCAGGTCAACGGTAAATGTAAACTAAATGCTAAAAATAAAATAACCCGTATTAGGGTGATGTCTGGTACAGAATATACAGCAATTGTGCCAATATTATATGTGTGTGATTATTAAATATGATTTTAAATTGATTAAATAAAAAATTAAGTGAAAAATGATTTAGTAAAATTAAAATTAAATAAATATTACTTACATGCCAAAAATATTACTTACATACTTCGGTATATAAGTAATATTTATTTTATTTCAATTTTACTAAATCATTTTTCCCTTATTTTTCCCATATTTGATAATCACACACATATAATATTGGCACAATTGCTATATATTCCACCAGTTAGTACCAGTTAGTACCCTAATACAGGTTATTATATTTTCAGCATTTAGTTTACCATGTACCGCTAACCGGGGTTCAAAGGAGTAGTGATGCGCATTATAAGATGCTGTTTGTAGTTAGCATCTCTAGCCTCTCCTACACAATTCCTATCCTCACCTCCACGAAGTGTGGTCTTCCACGAAAACCTGAGCAATCTTGTTGGAGATTGGTAACCAACCCCAATGAAAGACAGGGTCAGGGCGAACGAGGAAGTGAGAATATGGTCCTCCGAAATGGAGGTTTTGCTACGGACTAGCGACCCATAAAAGTAAAAAAATATTATTACCTCGGAATAGGACAGAATAGGACAAAAACAAGTGACGAAAGCTACGGACAAAGGATATTCTATTAGGAACATGGAATGTACTAAGTTGGTACAGACCTGGAATTGCCACGACAGCGATAAAATAACTAGAAAACTTGAACTATGATGTAGTAGCCATTCAGGAGATGAGATGGACAGGATATGGAACAATACACATGGAGAAGTCATTAGTACTGTGGTCTGGACATGAAACTCGACATGAAAGAGAATGTGGCTTTGTAATACATGAAAGACTACAATAAGAGTTATTAGACTTTAAACCAATACACGAACGAATCTGCATCATAAGATTAAGTGGTAAATGGTCCAATTTAACTATATTTTCAGTGTATGCACCAACCGAAGACGCATTAGAGGATGATAAAAATGAATTCTACGACTCTCTAAATCAACTCTACACAGAAGCTCTTAACCACGATATTAAAATAATACTAGGTGATCTAAACGCAAAGGTAGGCATAGAAGACTACGTAATAGCGGTGGCAGGAAGATATACTCTACATGAAGTTACAAACGATAATGATCACGTTTGGTCGATTTTGCGACAGCCATCAAAAGCACCCAGTTCGCTAGAAAAAAGATTCACAAGGCAACATGGAGATCAAACGACGGAAGAACAAATAATCAAATAGATCACGTATTGATTGATGGGAGACATTCTAGCAGCATAATGTAACATAAGTGTAAGAACTATGAGAGGGCCGGACAGGGACACAGACCATTTTCTCGTAAAGATCAAGCTCAGAACAAGAATTTCAATTCAAATAATATATAAAGACACAAAGATCGAACGATGGAATGTGGCGAAGCTGAAAGAAGAAAATAATCAAAGACAGTAACAAGTAGAATTAAGAAATAGGTTTCAGGTTTTGGAAATAAATGAAAATAAAAGTGAAGATATAGATCAGCGATGGAACTCGATAAAAACAACTATTACAGAAGCAGCAGAGAAATCTATCGGAAAACGAAAAAAACAAAAAAGAAAAAATGGTCAGACGACGAATGTGAAAGAACTCTAAAAGAAGCAAACAAAAGAAGAGTTGATTATCTGTCGAATCCATCAGAAGAAAAACGTATACGATTCCACAGAGAGAGAGCCGCAGCTAGAAGAACACTTAGACAAAAAAAAAGAGACAATATCTGCAGCAATAAATTGAAAAAGTAGAAGGAGAACACAGACGAAATCAAAGTAAAAATTTCTACAGAGAGGTAAGACAACATAAGAGAGGCTCGTATATAAGCACACCCAACTTCGTAAGAGATAAAAATGGAGAAATGCTGGCTGCCGAAAACAAAATAATAGAAAAATGGGCTTAATATTTTGAAGAGATTCTGAATATCCAAAATTTCACTGTTGAAAACAATGAAAATGGTGGAAACAATGGAGAACATGAGTATCAAACGATCGAATTAGAAATGCCCCCACCAAGTATATAAGAAATTACGCATGTCATAAAAACGCTTAAAAACGATCAATCCGCTGGTCTAGACAATATTGATGCCGAGCTAATTAAAACAGGCGGTCATGAAGTCATAAGTAAAATCCATCAATTAATAGAAATGGCTTGGCAACAAGAAATCATGCCGAAAGAATGGTGTGGTAGTATTATTGTACCAATTCACAAGAAAGTAAAAAAGGAATCATGCATGAATTACAGAGGAATCTCAATAATCAACAATACATATAAAATATTGGCTTCGACATTATTAAAAAGATTAGATCTTTTTTCTACTGTCTTTCTTTTTTTTTACAATAAAACAAATGCTTAAAAAGTATTGGGAATATAATCACAACGTGCATCAGATTTTTATAGACTTCAAACAGGCTTATGATTCAATTAATCGTGCAACATTATGGAAGACAATGATCGAGCTCGGCGTACCCAAGAAACTAGCTGTGGTAACACAAATGTGTGTAACTCTTTTGCACAAGTTAGAATAGGGGGGGGGGGAAATATCAAATGCTTTCTGCGTAAATTTTGGACTGAGACAGGGAGATCCGTTGTCCCCATTGTTGTTTAACCTGGCCTTAGAATATGTCATGCGAAAAATATATCCAAAAATCAAACCAGGCATAACTACTCAGGAAGCAAAAATCATACTCGCTTTGTCGATGACGTAGACGCAGTAGCACAATTAACATGAGAAATTGAAGATATTTTCTCGAGCTTTGAAGAAGCTGCATTAAACATCGGTTTAAAAATAAATGAAGACAAAACAAAATACATGGTGGTCTCAAAACAAGAACGACGGCGAATAAGGCAAAAATTACTATAAATGATCACAAGTTCGAAATGGTTAAAGAATTTAAATATCTAGGAGCAACAATCAAAATTAGAGCGAGAAGTTGAAACGAGAATAATGGCAGGAAACATATCTTTCTTTGCAATGCAACATCTAATGAAGTCAAAACTTCTTTCACAAGGTACAAAAATCCGGATATATAAGACCATAATACGACCAGCAGTCGCGTATGGAAGCGAAACATGGACGATAACAAAAAGAGAAATAAATAAATTGCTGGTGTGGAAACGTAAAATTCTTTGAATGATATATGGCCCTTGCAGAGACAGCGTGACTAATGAATGGAGGAGCAGATACAATACCTAACGAGCTAGAGTCTCTATTCGGAAAAGAAAATCTAGCCAGATATATAAAGGCCAATAGACTCAGATAGGCAGTAACGACAATCGCCTTGTACAAACAATGTATTCTGGGAAAGGCTAGATGGAAGAAGGTCTGTAGGGCAACCTAGAAAAAGGTGGAAAGAAGCAGTCAAAGAAGATCTAGGAAAAATGGGAGTGCGACAATGGGAATTACTGGCACAGGACCGACAAACATGGAAGGCAATAGTAAACGCGGCAAAGACTCACGAAGAGTTGTAGCGCCATTGATGATGATGATGATGTACCGTTAACCCGAAGATGCATATCAAATTATGGTATCCGAAACCGGTCGTTGGTGGTAGAATAAATTGATTGTGAGTAAGTCTTATTCTTATTTCTTTTTACCTATTTTTAATTCTTGAATTTATAAATACATTTTTTTAAATGAACATAAACGAGATGGAGTAACGAATAAACTAAATATAGCTACCCCGAATTTTAGAGAGTTGAGCGAAGGAAGCTCGAAATGACAAAAAAAAAAAAGAATGACAAGGCAAACACATCAACCATTATGGGAAAAGTTTGTTATACTCTGTTTGAAAATTATTAATGTTGCGAATTAAGCTGCTTAGAGTCTACTACGAATTGCTAAAAGTATAAATTGAAATACCCACTATGGCTCCCTTAGATAGCCCTTGTGACTAAATAAATTGATATGACAATGAAATTCATAGCCATGAATTATAATTATACACCTTTAGCGATGTTACAGTGACGAATAATTTCAAAATTTGACAAAAGTTTCCGAAGCTAGTGGGGTACATCAATTTTTCGTTTGGTAGCAGTACATAAATGATCCACTTTTAAAAGTGGTTTAATACTATCGTAATTTGATTCCATTGCGACCACATTGTTGTCCTTCCATTTTGCGTAGACTTGATTTATCAAAGCGATGTTCGAAATATCCACGATTTTTCTGTTTCATTACAGCGGAAGGTAACAAAGGACATTTTTTATACGATTTTCTCTTGCTGTGCCTGTTGCCCTAAAGTCCTTCTCTTTTAAAGTTTCCATCAAATTATAAGTAGTAAAATAATTGTCAAAAAATACTTCGTAGTCAGTAGGCACATCAATGACATCAAGGATTTTTAGAACAACTTATGATCTTAAAGGCAACGCCGCAACTTTTGATTTATTCACTGATGCTCCACAATATGTGTCAAAATTGTAGCAATAACCAGTTGAACTATAAAGCATCCAGTCCTTGTACCCAAATCTTACTGGTTTTCTCCTTATGAACTGTTTAGATAAGTGATGCCCAAAATACTTTATCATTGCTTTATCAATTGCGACCAGAGTCTTTGGGAAATATTCCAAATTGTTGAAATTTTTTATTTAGTTTGTTCATGAGAGGCCTCACTTTATACATTCTATCCCTTGTATCAATTTGAGAATTATCTGCCAACTGTAGGTATTTTTTAATTTCTTGGAAACGGTTCCCGGGCAAGAGGAAGATTGTCTTTTTCGTCGTTATCAGAGTCATCACTCTTGTAATGAACCTCTATTTCTCCGGGAACGTCAATCGCAAAGCTTTGAGTCTGAAGATCATCCTCATCTATGTCCTGATTGACAGTTTGATAGTCAGTCTCAGGGGGAATAACTACCACCGATACATCTTTATGAGTGGAACTCGCTCGGTCATCTAAAGCTAAAGCAAGAGTTGTATAACATTTTCCTTAAAACCCAATGGGACTAATAGGCGATAATTCTTGAAAATCCATTCCAATACCAATATTGAACTTTAAACAATCAACAACCAAATAATCATTTTGATTTTATACAAACTTACAAACCTACTGTACTCAGATGAGGACAGGTCTATTTTGTAACATAAAAACAACAATAATAAAAAATCTTATACTGAATAAATAAACATTGCTAGTACTTATCCTTATAACAATGAAAGTTAAAATGATAAATAGTATCAAAATCACAAAATAACAAACACTTCAATGATCCAACAGAAATATGGACGTTAGCTTATAATTACTGCGGCAAAAATTAGGAAGAAGAGCGCCACCTAGGGTATAATTTGTGAAAATCTAGTAGAACACTTCCTAATAGAATCGGACGTGGAGTAATAATTTTTTACCAGATGTGTCACTACTAGGCCATTTTTGCTGCTGTACTTAGACGAGTACAATGGGACTAAATGGGTTAATATAAAATTTCTCACTCTTTTAAGAATTAACTTAATTTTATAATCAAAAATGTTAATTTATTAATAGTATATAATTGTATCAAAAATTGTATTACCTTGTTCTCTTACGAACTTTCCGATTTTTTCATTCTCAAGTGCTGAATTAATTGATAGCAACTCCATCTGTAGGGTTTTGCAAAATGTGATAGCATTTATCCAACTCTCCTACAAACAAATATAATTAATGAAAAAGTTGCGTCGATCAGAAATAAGAGCTCTTTATGAAATATTTAAAGATCTTTACCGTTACGTGAAGGCCCAAATAATAGAGTTTATTTCCAAAACGAACTAATGGCAGAGTCGATAGTCCTCCATTCTCGAAGTTTTTTTCCCATTGAGGCTCTAAAAAAATTCAAAATAAAATATATCCCATTATAGCAATCAAAAATATTTAGAGAAATACAAATATTACGATTAAAATGTGCGACTTAGAGCGACAGGAGACAAAGTTTATATATTGTAAATAATTTCGATGAAAATGCAATATGCATTTAACTTCTGAGATAGTTTAAGTCTCAAAAAATCCTATGAAATTTGCTAAATGTGTCTAGCATAATTAATAGAGCAAGTTTAATAGTTTAAATATTTAGCCTCAGGGATAAATAAATTAAATAACTTTTAAACTATTTGACCGATCGGGTGGAAATTTCGCATAAATTTAAAAGACGGTAATTCCTCTATATTCAAATGTATCAGTAATATTTTATTTTCTTTATTTCTAAATTTATAAATTAGTGCAAAAAACTGTTTTTTTTACAATTATCTTCGTAAATTATTTATCAATTTTAATTTAAAGAACGGTAAAGTAAAGATATTCTTGATATAAAAAAATGACACAAATATTGTTTATGTAAAATATAAGAGAAATTTCGGATATCCAAGAAACGAAATACGAAATGGCAAATAAAAAGGATATGAATTCTCAAGAAAAAATAATAAAACATACGTACATAAAAAACATAACAAAAAAAATTAAAAAACACATGCAAGTAAAAATAAGTAGGTACGTGGAACATCAGAACAATGATTGAACCAGGAAAAATGCAAGAGATTGTCTCAGAGCTGGAAAGATACGGAATTGATGTTGCAGTAATTCAAGAAATTAGATAGGCAGGTAAAGGAGAAATAAATAAAAAAAATTACACATTACACTACTCTGGGCATGAAAAACAAGATCAATATGGAGTTGCATTTATAACTACGGGAAAAATACAAAATAATATTATGCAATTTAAACCAATATATGAGCGCATGGCTTACCTGAGAATTAACGCCAAACCATTTAATATATCCATCATAAACGTATATGCACCAACTGAAAGTGCTGTAGCAGAGGAAAAAGATAACATTTATGAGAAACTGGAAAAAGAAATTGAGACTTTACCCAAAGAAGACACAATTCTGGTAATGGGAGATTTTAACGCCCAGATTAACGGCAAGGAAGACTACATTAATCAAGTTGCAGGTAAATACACATTACATGAAAAAACAAATGATAATGGTCAAAAATTATGCAACTTAGCAACTAGCACCAATATAATTGTCAGTAGTACAAAATTTGCACACCCTGTATACCACAAAGTAACATGGATCTCACCAGACCAAAAAACATGGTCCCAAATAGACCATAAACTGATCACAAAGAGAAAGCAAATATCGATAACAGACGTGAGAACAGACAGAGGTGCACATGCAGACACAGACCATTTCATGGTTACCGCAACGTTAAGACAAAAAGTCAAAAGAACGCTAAAAAACAAGACAACAAAGGACAAATGGTAAATAGAAAAACTGAATGCTACAGATAGAAGAATTAAATATGCAGAAGATATAAGCAAAAAACTGAAGTAATACTGTAAACTTACAGAGGATGTTAAAACAGAATGAAGAAATATAAAAAAATGTATAAATGAAACAGCTTCTGAACATGTAGGGCTAGAGAGAAAGAACAAAAAAGAAGAATGGTATAATCAAGACTGTCATAACATGTTAAAAAAGAAGATAGAAATAAGACAAAAGTGGATTAAAACAAATAGACAAGAATATGAAGAAGAATACAACAAATTAAGAACAGAATGTAAGAAACAAATAAGGAAAATTAAACGAACCTGGTTAAATGATAAGATAAAAGAAATAGAAAAAGAAAACACAAACAGAAACACAAAAGCATTTTAAAAGAAAATTAGCGAGCAGAACAAAACCTTTAAAGAAAAGATAAAAGGCATGAAGGATAGAAATGGAAAAGTATCAGGAAATGACAAAGAATTTAAAGAAATCTGGACTGATTATGTTAAAGAATTATTAACAGTACAAGAGGACCAAGACTTAAATGAAAACGTGGAAGAAGAGACCACGATGATAGAAACCGAGCTAGAAAAATCAACGAAAGATGAAGTTGAGGAAATTATAAACAGTAGTCGCAACGGTAAAGCACCAGGTATAGACGGTATAAACATGGAACTTATAAAATATGGTGGACATGAACTCCAGAAGAGAAAAAATATACCAATTAATAAAAGTCATATGGGACGAAGAAAAGATGCCAGAAGAATGGTACAAAGGACAAATGATCACAGTCCATAAAAAAGGAGACCAACAAATATGTAATAATTATAGAGGACTAACATTATTAAACACAGCGTATAAAATCATGTCAACCTTAATACAACGAAGACTGGCCGAAGCGACTACAAATATCATGGGACAGTACCGATACGGATTTATTAGGGAAAAGTCAACAACAGATGCCATACATATGATAAAGCAAATTATGGAGAAAGCTTATGAATATAAAATAGAAATTGAACTGCTTTTTATAGACTTCTAACAAGCATTTGATTCAATAAACAGAGCGAAATTACTTACAGCTTTGAGAGAAGTGAGAATACACAACAAATTAAGACGATTAATAAAAATGACAATGAGAAAAACTGTAGTAACTGTAAAAACACAAGAAGGAGACACAGAAGAATTTGTTATAAATAAAGGTGTACGTCAAGGAGATTCATTATCTGCAACTCTGTTTAATCTTGCCCTGGAATATATAGTCAGAAAATCAACAAAGGTACACTTAGAACGAGAGAGGGACAAATAATAGCATATGTCGACGATATTGTGTTAATAACAAAGAACAGAAAAACAATGGAAAGTATGTTAAAAGAATTGGTAGCAGAAGGGAAAGTAATGGGCTTAGTAATAAATCAAGAAAAAACAAAAATAATGAGATTTGACAAAAAATATGAAAACAAAAAGATTAGACTGGGAGAATATATATTTGAAGAAGTAGAAAAGTTTAAGTATTTGGGAATATTATTAACAAACAATGGAGAAAGGGAAACAGACATTAAAAAAGGATAATTACAGCAAATAAGACATACTATGCAAATAAAAAACTTCTAAAAAATAAATTACTGAGCAAGAAATCGAAAATGAAGATATATAAAACAATAATTCGACCGACTATGATGTACGCTGCCGAAACCCTTAGCATGACAAAAAAAACAAGAGATGACCTTAGAATACTAGAAAGGAAAATACTAAGAGCAATATTAGGACCAATAAAAATTAATGAAAACCAATATAGACAAAGAACGAATCATGAACTACTAAACGAAATTAAAGATGATAGTTTTTAAAATAAAACAGCAAAGGCAAAATAGCTAGGACATATATGGAGATCAGGACCATCTACGACAATATTTTCAATATTGGAATGGACACCAGCTGGTAAAAGAAGACGTGGAAGACCAAGATCTACATGGCTACAAGAAGTAACAAATGATCTCAACGGGCGGGCGTACGCAATGGAGAGAAAAAACCAGAGATAGAAACAGTGGAGAAAAATAACAGGAAAAATTAAATAAAGTAAATGAGGACTGGTCTACCTCGTAACATAGATATAGAGAGCTTAAGCGGCGTAACCCCGTGTGGGGTGTTTAGCCACAATATATAAAATATAAGAGAAAAAACTTATAGACAAAAAATCAAAATGTGACCATAAATTATTGTTTAAAAAAAACGCAAGGTAAAAATACGGGTACTTTTTCATCTATTCGTCGTCTAATAACCCCCACCTATGTCTTAAAAGTTTCAGATATCAGCTAAAAATTTTGCCGTGAAATCGATGATTTTTGCATAAACAGACTGGGCTATACCTGTATCAAAGAAAGTCTTGAAAAAATTGTTACATGCGGCCTACTTAGTGTTTAATAATTGTACATAAGAGAAGAATAAGAGAAAAATTAAAAAAAAATGATATGAAGACTACTTACTTGAAGCAACCCGTACAGTACTTGGAGTATTGGAATCATCTCTAATGTAAGCTTCACTTAAAGAAACAAACAGAAAGACTACTGTAAGACATGTTGCTGTAATCTTCATCTTTGGTGAATTTTCGTCGGCACAGCTGTTTCAAAACGCACGTTTTTAATCGGTTTTATACTAAACTTACACGAGGCTCAATTAAACGGTCAGAAGGTTAATATAGATAAAAAAATTTATAAAACAATTTTAATGTTAATAGATAAAAAATTATACTTTTCAAATTAGAGAAACTACACTGAACGGCAAAAAAAGTGGCCACTCTATAAATGGCCGAAAATAAAATTTCATTGGAAGTTTTATGCACTGTTTCATATTGCGTCTCAATTTAAATATTCATTGCGATCATTTATGCTTGTATTTTATAGTTTGACGATTATGTGGTTATTTCTGTAGAAGTTCTGTAGTCGCTGTTTATCTTCTAAGTTAAAAACAGTTAATTAAACAGTAATTTAGCTTTAAAAGAGATCCCTTAACCCTTTAGCGGCCACTGGTTGATTTTTTAACCACTTATTTTTTCTCCCTGTAGGAATAAGTTCGTAGTGTAAAAATAAACCAGAAATCGTCGAGGCGCTTGACGGCAACGTTTTCAGGTGAAATATTAACCAGTAGTTAAATCTGGCGCGCTTTATAGTGTATACTCCTACCTCGCCTGTTTCAAGTGGTCGAAAATCTGCATCTGAACGTCTGCAATTATCTATTATTTGTTGTTTTGGTGGATCGTGATTGTTGCTCCAGTTGTTTATAAGTGAAAAAAAAAGTATAGCTAAATAAATAGATAATTACAATGTTCCAAATATTTTATTCCTTTTTTTACACAATTTGTTCTAGAAATCGATCAAATCATAAAAATAACCTAACTTTATTTCATAACAGTGTTTTAATTGATTCGCTCACATGTGCTGTGAATATGATGCGACAGCCTAAACGCTTCATCTGATCAATTTTTGAGTAGTCCGCGGAAATTTTCATGGTTTAAATATGATGAATATTGTAGTTGACATTGATATAATATTTACAGTGGCAGTACACTATATGACAATTATTACATATAAAGTTAGTCTCTTTTAAACAAATATTGGTTTTCGAGTTGATTGTGGACAAAATCAATGGAATATTTTCAACTCTAAACGGAAAAGAAAGCGCAAAATTGCAGTACTGGCATCAAATCAAGGTTATTTCCGACGCAAAAAAGGAGATGCATATAATTCAAAATACAATAATAGTAAGAGTTATGCATAATAAACGGATGCTAAGAGAGGGGGGCTAATTTTGATAAACTTTACAAAATTAAGCCTCTAAACGATACTACCGATATATAGCTGTCGATGAAAGCGTGGTTGCTTTCAAGGGCAGAACAACAGTAAAACAATATACCTATGCCGAAAAAACCATTCAAACGAGGAATAAAAGTATGGGCCCTTACTTGTTCCAAGACTGGATATATGCTTTTATTTCAGATTTATCAAGGAAATAATTTGATTTATTGAAATGTTTATTAGAGAGGAACACTTTTGGTTGTGGAACTTTCAGGTTGATAGAAAATATTATCCAAAAACAATATTGAAAACAGACAAGATGAAATAGGCAAACATGTCACAACAAAAGTGAAAAGAACAAACAAAATAGGACATCGAGAAGAAGTAAGCTATCCAGAGGCTATCTGAATATAATTTATATATGGGAGAAGTCGATAAATTTAACCAATATCACTCTTACATATTCAATTTCTTGGAAATCACGAAAATGGTGGGTAGAACTATTCTAATATTTGGTTGATTGTTGCATTGTGAATTCCTATATTTTATATAAAGAGTCAGTTCCTGCAAAAGAAAAACCTATCTTAGACTTCGAAAACAAATTTCGAACAATTCTCGCTGATTGATTGAGTGCTAATTGCAGACTAAAAATTGGAGGAAGAGGTATCTAATATAAGAAAAACAAATTTGGGAGATTACTTGCCAGTAAAAGGCACACGTCGAAGTTGCGCATATTGTAGCAATGCAAAGAAAGCGAAAAGAAGTCAAATTGTTTGCCGTAGAGGTCAACTGGCTCCCTGTTTAGAATGCTTGGCACACTTTCATGAAACATAAGAAAATGTTTGGTATAATGACTTCTTAAGAAATAAATACTTTTGTTCATTACTTTTTGTTTTTATTTCGAAAAACAGAAGTGGTCGATATTTTGACAAGGATTCAAACATAAAGTATATTGTCCTTGACGTGCGCTGGTCGAAAAATCGACCACCCCCTCCATTTCAAAATTCAAACTTAAACTTTTTTTAAACATGACGATATGTAAATTTTTGTATATATAACTCGTACATATCGTTATTTTTTTAAAACACCGAAAAAAATAGTTTTGCGCGCTAAAGGGTTAATCTCTTTCTAAAGATTGGGACGAGACACCTCATTAAAGATCCAGACTGGATAAGTCCTAGTAGAATCAAATGGCTATGCTTGCAGCGAATTTCAATTCCGTAGTAAGCTCCTCAATCGGATCTCCGGGAGGAGCAGTTACAAGTATAACAAAAAGATTAAAATGCAAAGAAGACATCAGAATAGGCACATGGAACGTGAAAACCATGGCACAGGAAGGTAAAATCCATAATGCAATACAAGAAATGGCACACATGAAAATAAATATTCTTGGAATAAGCGAAATGCGTTGGCCAGGTTCAGTAACCGCAAATATCGGGGAACACCGCGTTTACTATTCTGGAACAGATAACGGCAAACATTAATTAGTTGTCGGCATTATACTGACAAAAGAAGTGGCAAAATCTGTTGATAACTTCATCACAATCTCGGCAAGAGTGATGCTTGCATATAAGCAAATCAGCATTTCCTATAAACCTATGATGGTTTTCAAGACGAGAGGCATATTCCTGGCCAGAGTTAATTTTTATTTTTTTAACAATTTTTTTCAGTTATTATCATTGCTTTGTCTCTTACGACTAAGGATAGGTAACATTTCATCACCATTTTCACAGTTTATTAACGTGCGAGTAGGTACAGAAACATCTTCATTAGTCTCTGCTACATAATCTAAGTCTGAATCACTATTATTAGAGTTTATTAATATATGGAAAGTTGCACTAATACCTTCATCAGTGTCTGGTACATAATTTGAGTCTAAATAAAAGGACTCAAAATCTCCATCATGAGCTGGAGTGTCATCTGAAAGAAAATGACTATGAATAATTGATGGATTCGACTGTTACTTGATGGAAATTCATTTTATGTAACAATAAAACACTGAAAACTTTGTTTTCAAACTTCCACAAAATTTGTTTTAACTATTATTACTACAGCTCTTTCGGCTGATAGCCTTTCTCAAGTGATCTATTTTTGGCTTGGGTTTACAAATTTATAGTCTCTAATGAAATAGGTTGAGGAGGGGAGAACTGTTTGTCTCAAGTTGGTCATTCAGAATTATATCTGTGTTTTTTAATTTGTTGATTTCCATAGATTCTAACAAAGATAGCTTAAGGCCTTTATTTTGAATGTGAAGAATTTTAAATTTGTCATTAAAAGAATGATTATGATCTAGAAGGTGAAGTGCGTATGTCGAATCTGTTTTTCTATTCTTGAAAGCCCTTTTATGTTCTGCTATTCGTTTATCAAAGTTTCTACCAGTTTGACCGATGTAAGTTTTTGGGCAGTCGCCACATTGAAGTTTATACACACCACTATTTAAGTGTTTTTTTATTTTGGCTCTTGTTATTTTTAATATATTTACCTAGGTTGTTATTTGTTCGGAAAGCTGGTGTTATTCCTTTCTTTTTTATGTTTTTGGCAATTTTTGTTGTTATTTTGCCTGTATATGTAATCGAGCAGAAGGTACTGGGTTTTTTCCTGGTGGTGGAAATACTATTTTCAGGGCTTTCTTTTGTAGTTTTTGATTTAACATTTTATTAATTGTTTGTTCGTTGTATCCGTTGTTTACTGCTATTTGCTTAATTATATTTAATTCTGTCTCAAAGTTGTCTTTTGACATCGGAATTTCTGTTAATCTATGTAACATACTATGATAAGCTGCCAGTTTATGTTGTGTTGGATGGAATGATGAATTGTGTATAGTCGTGTCAGTATGGGTAGGTTTGTGAAATATGGAGAAACCATGTTTGTTTTGAAGTCTGCTAATTTTTAAATCTAAAAAATTTATGCATTGATTTTGTTCTGTTTCTATTGTATTTAAAAATTGTACCAATTTTCATCGTGTATTAATTTACTTCATAGTCATATTGAATTTACAATAGAAACAGAACAAAATCAATGCATAAATTTTTTAGATTTAAAAATTAGCAGACTTCAAAACAAACATGACTTCTCCATATTTACGACTATACACAATTCATCATTCCATCCAACACAACATAAACTGGCAGCTTATCATAGTATGTTACATAGATTAACAGAAATTCCGATGCCAAAAGACAACTTTGAGACAGAATTAAATATAATTAAGCAAATAGCAGTAAACAACGGATACAACGAACAAACAATTAATAAAATGTTAAATCAAAAACTACACAAGAAAGCCCTGAAAATAGTATTTCCACCACCAGAGAAAAAACCCAGTACCTTCTGCTCGATTACATATACAGGCAAAATAACAACAAAAATTGCCAAACACATAAAAAAGAAAGGAATAACACCAGCTTTCCGAACAAATAACAACTAGGTAAATATATTAAAAATAACAAGAGCCAAAATAAAAAAAACACTTAATAGTGGTGTGTATAAACTTCAATGTGGCGACTGCCCAAAAACTTACATCGGTCAAAATGGTAGAAACTTTGATAAACGAATAGCAGAACATAAAAGGGCTTTCAAGAATAGAAAAAACAGATTCGACATACGCACTTCACCTTCTAGATCATAATCATTCTTTTAATGACAAATTTAAAATTCTTCACATTCAAAATAAAGGCCTTAAGCTATCTTTGTTAGAATCTATGGAAATCAACAAATTAAAAAACACAGATATAATTCTGAATGACCAACTTGAGACAAACAGTTCTCCCCTCCCCAACCTATTTCATTAGAGACTATAAATTTGTAAACCCAAGCCAAAAATAGATCACTTGAGAAAGGCTATCAGCCGAAACAGCTGTAGTAATAATAGTTAAAACAAATTTTGTG